GAAAATTCCAGAAAATGATGTCATGGCTTTAGAAGCTTCTGATAGGCTAATTGTCATAATTTGAGTCAATTGGAGGTGTACCTGTGGATGTATTTCAAGGCCTACCTTCAAATTCAGTGCCTCTTTGCTTGACATCGTGGGAAAATCAAAAGAAATCATCCAAGACCTCCGAAAAAAATGTGTAGACCTCCACAAGTCTGGTTCATCCTTGGGAGCAATTTCCAAACGCCTGAAGGTACCACGTTCATCTGTACAAACAATAGCACGCAAGTATAAACACAATGGGACCACGCAGCCGTCATACCGCTCAGGAAGGAGATGCGTTCTGTCTCCTAGAGATGAACGTACTTTATGCGAAAAGTGCAAATCAATCCCAGAACAACAGCAAAGGACCTTGTGAAGATGCTGGAGGAAACAGGTACAAAAGTATCTATATCCACAGTAAAACGAGTCCTATATCGACATAACCTGAAAGGCCGCTCAGCAAGGAAGAAGCCACTGCTCCAAAACCGCCATAAAAAGCCAGACTACGGTTCGCAACTGCACATGGGGACAAAGATTGTACTTTTTTGAGAAATGTCCTCTGGTCTGATGAAAAAAAAATAGAACTGTTTGGCCATAATGACTATTGTTATGTTTGGAGGAAAAAGGGGAAGACTTGCAAGCCGAAGATCACCATCCCAACCGTGAAGCAAAGGGGTGGCAGCATCATGCTGTGGGGGTGCTTTGCTGCAGGAGGGACTGGTGCACTTCACAAAATACATGGCATCATGAGGAAGGAAAATTATGTGGATATATTGAAGCAACATCTCAAGACATCCGTCAGGAAGTTAAAGCTTGGTCGCAAATGGGTCTTCCAAATGGACAATGACCCCAAGCATACTTCCAAAGTTGTGGCAAAATGGCTTAAGGACAACAAAGTCAAGGTATTGGAGTGGCCATCACAAAGCCCTGACCTCAATTCTATAGAAAATGTGTGGGCAGAACTGAAAAAGCGTGTGCGAGCAAGGAGGCCTACAAACCTGACTCAGTTACACCAGCTCTGTCAGGAGGAATGGGCCAAAATTCACCCAACTTATTGTGGGAAGCTTGTGGAAGGCTACCCGAAACATTTGACCCAAGTTAAACAATTTAAAGGCAATGCTACCAAATACTAATTGAGTGTATGTAAACTTCTGACCCACTGGGAATGTGATGAAAGAAATGAAAGCTGAAATAAATCATTCTCTCTACTATTATTCTGACATTTCACATTCATAAAATAAAGTTGTGATCCTAACTGACCTAAGAGAGGGAATTTTTACTAGGATTAAATGTCAGGAATTGTGAAAAACTGAGTTTAAATGTATTTGGCTAAGGTGTATGTAAACTTCCGACTTCAACTGTAGAAACACATCTCTTTGTGTGTGTGTGTGTGTGTGTGTGTGTGTGTGTGTGTGTGTGTGTGTGTGTGTGTGTGTGTGTGTGTGTGAGTGTGTGTGTGTGTTTTAAAGCCAGATTTCTCTGTAGATGCTTTCCAAACAAGCGTTGACCTTTTGCACCTACATGTAAAGGACTCCCGAGATCAGAACAGGAGAAGAGGAGAAGGAGGAGGAGAAGGAGGAGAAGGAGGAGGAGGAGGAGGAGGAGGAGGAGGAGGAGGAGGAGGAGGGGAAGCTGTGTGTGTGAATAAAGGCATCATCACCGCCAGCAGCCAAGAGACTTCATCCTCTCTTCTCTCTTCCTCTCCTCTCCTCTCCGCCCTTCTCGTCCTCCTCTCTCTCTCTCTCACGGAGTGTCTCTGTTCTGTTCTGAGCTGGCAGCAGTTCTACCTTGTTGGCGGAGGAAGCCACAAAGGAGCGGTAGTGTAATAAAACAGCAGTCTCTGGTGATCCCGGTGTAATTGGGATTGTTAACGTGAAGAGCTCCTGAGGGAGACTGAGTGAAGGAGAGGAGTGTGTCTGTCTTTGTGTAAAGTAAAACATACATGCTCTGCACCTCTCTCTGCAGCGTACCTTGATTCCGAATAAGTACAGTAGTAAGAGGTAAAATGAAAAAAATAGCAAACAAGTCACCTGAGCTATATCAAGCCCAAGCTGCTACTATTATGCTTTCATTCCTCGTTGTATTTTTATTTTATTCTATTTAGGTGCTTTTTTATTTATATTTTGTAAAGCTCCGGTGAAGCCCGGTTTTGATTCGGAATTCCTCAGAGAACTTGTGTTTTTAAGAGAAGATAAACCTGCTAGTGTTCAGGCATATCTGTTGACGAGGAAGGAACAATCTGCCGTGATACAAATTGAGGCACAACACCTTCGACATAATCGGTGTATTGAGGGGTAATATTGTATGTTGAAGTCAGCCAGTCACATGGATGATTCGTCCTCTCACATTAATTAATTATTAATGAGTAATAATTAGCAATTAATTCATTTGTAGTCAAATCATTGACTAACTTCTGTATTTTGTTGCTTCTGCCAAATGTAAAATAATGTAGCCTATAATGCTGACTCTGTTTTTATAATGCAGTGAAGTGTAATCTGAGGACCTATTGTAACAGCAAGGTAGACAGGCCTACAGTGAGATCTGCTAGTATCTTCCCTAATGACTAAATAACTAATCGTATTCTACCATGCAATCAATGCAATAAGGCAACGTTCCATTTTCCAGGCCAAATTGCAACATTTCATTTAACTTCATAATTTCACTAACTATTGTTCATGCTTTGTAGTAGTTAGGTTTGTAAGATTGGAGATATCCTCCTTCAAACATGAGCAGCCTATAGGCCTACACGCACCGTGCACGCGCGCATTAGAACTAGGCCTACATAACTTCGATTCATATTGTAGCCTATTGAACACTGTCAAAGTAGAAAACGCACTTCAAAGTCAATTGCTTGTGAGTACAGCCCAATTGATTTCTTTGACTTAAGATATACTAGCTTACTTTTTTTGTGAGTTTCATTGTGGATGAAAATTTCATACGCCGATTTAGAGGTGGTGAAATATAAATGATTTCGTTAAAGTTTCATCATAAATCAGTCCGTCGCTATATGTGAGGAGACACTGATTGCCCCTTGATGTCTCAGGGGCGCGGGCGCGAGGGTTGGCTTCAGCGCGCCTGTCGTCCAACTTGAGAGGCAAACCGCCTGCCGTGTGGCTCTCGCGATGTAAAGTGCATGTGCACTATCACCAACAGCTTTGTTGCAGCGGTGGGGACATATTAAATGTCTATGTGCATCAAAATCTTACCGAAAAGGCACCGACAACTAGTGCGCTTCGCGTCATCGTCTGTAGCAGAGCGTGCAGCGGGTTTTTTGCATGCTATATTCATGGCCTAACATCTGTCCTCTCAGCGTTAAATTGCTTTATTGACTTCAGCATAGGCGGTGCACTAAAATTGATCACAGCATATTATCAGAGATGGGAAACTTAGTTATTATACTTTGGTGGTTTTGCAAGGATAATTTGAGGGCTTGTTGAGGTTCTGGTTCTCCAGTTTTTCCAATATGAAGGCATTCCCTTACAGTACAAACACATTGTCTGGATATAATATGATTCTTTACAATACAATAGCATAGTTGTCTGAAAAATAAGCATAGTAGCTTTTTCTATACTATAGTTCTGTAGCTATTTTTATGAACGGAGTATCATATAGTCGTTTATGCACAGATACTGATAGATAGGCTACAGAAATTGGTGTTTAACGAACAGCATTTAAAATTTTGAAATAATTAGACCAAAAAAAATGAAAAACAGGAGTACCAACTATTTAGCCCACAAGTACCGTTCAACACAATCTCTTTTCCTACCAACTTAAATTCAATACTTATGTCCAATTATCATCACACTACCATCAACAAAATACACTCAGAGGTTCGACTTTGTAACCAGCGACCAATTACTATATCTGCAGACAGATTCCAAATTCTGTGAAAACATTTAAGGTATAGCCCTTACAGTTATATTTTCCATATGGGTATTCAATCACCATCTTATATCAATTAGCCCATCCAATGGACTTCAACAGATTAAACAAATTAGACAAGCCTTGTTAATTAGAATATGATTAAAGGTTTTAAATTATATCACTGATGAAGTAGCCTAATTAGTATAAAGATATGATAATAGCCCGCTGCGACAAGTATATAATTGTATTGGGTTTGCAATTAAATCCTAAAGACTTTTAAAAATCCACTTTCCACTGCCATTGATCAAATATTTCACACACGACGCTCGTCCATGCACCAGTGACATAAAAATTCACAAATGACTGTTGAGTTAACCCATATAACTCGTCTATTGATTATTTCCATAGCTAATCTCCAAACTAATAAATTCATCAAGGTGAATTACGCACATAAACAAGATAACGCGCGAGCATGTCACTTATTGAAAAGCCGTTTCACATAGCCCTAAATTAATTTTAAATATAGTAATCCTATCTTTTCCCCGATCCCTAATTTGTTTAAAGATGTTCTTCCTGTCTTCAATTTGCCTATGCTGCCATAATGAAATGATAGTCAAGCATTTAACTTTGATTTATCTCGCCCCAACAGGGATGGCGCTTGATGGAGCTGTCCATGGTACTTTCCTCATATCCATCCCTAGAATGACTTTCCTATGTGACCTCCTCTATTGCCTAATTCGTATCTTTAAACTGAACTCCACTTTGACATTTTTTTTTTGAATGGAGCTGCACAATATGAAGAAATAAGAGGGGAAATGGCTTGGCTATATGTGGTTATTTTTCCTCTTTCCATGTGGATCCAAAATAAATTCGACGAAGAAGGATACAATGCTGGCTGTAGAGCTGTTTGAAAATAATGCCTTGTCGCAGACTGCCCATGCGCAGAGTCCCCAGCGGCGGTGTGGCTAATGAAGAATAATAAATCATGAAAGGTTTTTCAGGTACAGCCGAGAGAGTGTAAGAGGAGAGGGGGCGAGTGTGTGAGAGAGAGAGAGAGAACGAAAGTGCGAGCAAGAGAGAGAGAGAGAGTGTGTGAAAGAGAGGCGCAGAGAGAGAGAGAGAGAGAGAGAGAGAGAGAGAGAGAGAGAGAGAGAGAGAGAGAGAGAGAGAGAGAGAGAGAGAGACAGCCTGCCCTTCGCCTCAGAGCAGAGGCAGATCGAGTCCCCGCAGCATTGAACGTAGTCGAGGTATCGAGACTGTCACCGTTATCTCTTAATTACAGTGAATTGTGAAACGGAAACTTTGCAGAAAAAAAGGTAAACGAATGAGACAATCTTTTTACGCGCGGTTGTATTTTGGAAATCCGTACCAGGACGAGAGAAAACAACTTTTTTTCTACTATTCGTTTTTCGTTGCACAATCTTGGAGGAGCTCTCCAAAACATCCACACATCCACGGCGATCAAACTAAGACTCTTGAAGGACGAAATTTAAAGAAAGAACGAACGAATAATAATAACATTATTTTTGAGCCATCGCGCCACAGCCCATAGAGGAAGAGGTAACGGAGGGCGCAGGCGACGTTCGATTGCATGGCGCGTGCGACATCTCCTCTCCAGCAAAACTACGGCGCGCGGCCATACCTCCACACACAGGGCTAGGTAATAATAGATGCGCCAACAACTAGAGAATTGGATGATCATCTTTCCATATTGTAGCAGCTACAGTCACAGTATATAAGACAGTGCCTTTAGATTTCCGGAGAAGCAACACTGTGCTTCAACTCCAATCGAAGAGGCGGAGTCTTAACTTATTAAAAGGAACTTGCCGAGACTCGGACGCCTGCAAACATGATGATGATGTCTCTGAACAGCAAGCAGGCATTCGCCATGGCCCACGCCAGCTTGCCCGAGCCCAAGTATTCCTTGCATTCCTCCTCGTCATCCACATTGACTTCGAATGCGCCCTCTTCATGCTCCTCTTCCCGACACAGTAGCACCATCATCAGCAGCGGCGGAGGCAACTCCGAGGCGATGCGCCGAGGATGTCTCCCAACCCCACCGGTACGTATTCTGCATAATTACCGCTTAAAGGCACATTTTGACAGCCCACTTTTGCTTGATGTTTTTTTCATGTCTGCACAGCAAATCACCCAACACCTCCATTTTTTTTCTTCCTCTCCCCAACTTATGTATTCAGTCGGGTTTGCCTTTCATATAAATTTTTATGACCTGGGATGTTGCATGTGTCTTGTTTTGTGTGTTCTTTTTTAGGATTTCTTTCTTCTTCTCTCATCTCATTCTGGAAATGTTTTAAACCGTGGAGTGGAGTGAGAATTCCCTGCTGACAGTTATGTGTGCATTCTATTTGCAATTGCAGAGCAATATATTCGGAGGCTTGGATGAGAGTTTGTTGGCCCGCGCTGAAGCTCTGGCGGCGGTGGATATTGCCTCGCAGACCAAGAGCCACCACCACCCTCCACACCACAGTCCCTTCAAGCCGGACGCGACCTACCACACCATGAACACTCTCCCCTGCACCTCCTCGTCGTCTTCTTCCTCGGTGCCTATTTCTCACCCATCCGCCCTTTCCGGCCACGGTCACCACCACCACCACCACCATCACCACCACCACCAACCCCACCAGGCGATGGAGGGCGACCTGCTGGACCACATCACCCCAGGACTGGCTCTCGGGTCCATGGCAGGTCCAGACGGCTCCGCGACTGCGCACCCTGCCCACATGGCGGGCATGAACCACATGCACCAGGCAGCCCTCAACATGGCTCATGCCCACGGGCTACCATCCCACATGGGCTGCATGAGCGACGTGGACGCAGATCCCAGGGACTTGGAAGCCTTCGCTGAGAGGTTTAAACAGAGACGGATCAAACTCGGCGTGACCCAGGCGGATGTAGGGGGAGCCTTGGCCAACCTGAAGATTCCTGGTGTGGGCTCCCTCAGCCAGAGTACCATCTGCCGATTCGAGTCCCTCACCCTCTCCCACAACAACATGATAGCGTTGAAGCCCATTCTACAGGCATGGCTGGAAGAAGCCGAGAAATCACACCGGGAGAAACTCAACAAACCCGAGCTATATAATGGCGGAGAGAAGAAGAGGAAGCGAACGTCGATAGCAGCACCGGAAAAGAGATCCCTGGAAGCTTACTTCGCCATTCAGCCGCGTCCTTCCTCAGAGAAAATCGCTGCTATCGCAGAGAAACTGGACCTCAAAAAGAACGTGGTGCGGGTCTGGTTTTGCAACCAACGGCAGAAACAGAAACGAATGAAATATTCTGCATGCGTCTGACTCTGAACACTCGCTCTAAAAAAACAAACAATCAACCAACGTTGAGAGACTGAACACTGTTTAGAGACGATTTGTATTATATTTCTTATCACACACTTTTTCAATCATCAATGACTTGTGCTTTGAACAACCCGAATAATTAATATACATTCAAAATGACTGAAAGCTCAAACCACTACTGCGGTCACGTCTTATTCGCAACAGAAGGGATGTGGAGTCATGTACAGGAGCATTTGAACAGAGCAAGTAAGACCTCTGTTTTTTACTCCACTTAGACCTACCTTCACCCTTTTATGTCAATGAAGTATTATAGGCTTTAATCACACGTCTTTTTTTGGTTTATGATATTGGTTAATTTATCATAGCCTACAATAGTGAACGTACTGAAAATAACAGTTATTTACCATGGGAAGATAGGCCTACAGTATTTTGACACAGCACTTGGTCGGTGCCTATTGGCCTAGTATTGGTGTGTTTATATTTTTGTCGTAAGGCTACATTTTCCCTCTGAGTTTATTATTATGACGATGCAGACTGGCATTAATTCCGGGTCCACGAGGGGAAATAGGGCAATACAGTAGGCGCTTGCTGGGTCTTGGAAGCTATTATTAGAGTATTGCCAAACAACCCCGTGTAAATTATTAATTTAGCGGTCACATGACCTTCATTTTGTGTCCCGTGTAATTAATTCCACCTATTTCATTTTAAAGTGTGATGAAAAGCTGAAAGATGAAGAAAAATATAAGATATAGAGCAAAGACCCAGAGTTTAGGCCCTAAACGAGCAACACTGGTTATAAAATATAGCTGGTGTAGGGGTTGTTTTTTTATGGCATAAACAGATATCTGGCTGTAGATGGGCCTATAGAAATAGTGGATCAAATGTATACATTTGATTGGGGTTTACAATTGCCAAATATGATTGTTTTATTACCAGTTGCAATAGGCCTACGTTTGTTTTTGCAAGCCAACGTGGGTCTGTTTCTTATGAACTATTTATTAGATGAGGCCATGTTTACATCATTATATATTTATTGGGATTCCCCCTCCTCTTCCTCCTCCCTCGTTTTGCTTGAGAAAATCTAATTCTGACAGCAAGTGAAACGTGTTTTCGAATAGGGAAATAAAAGCTCAATCTAGACCTATAGTCACGGATTTCATTTCGTTTCTGCTAAACGTTCGAGATGGTACAATCGAGAGATATATGCGATAGTATTCTCTTTTTAAATTATTTTTATGTATGTTTTTTTCTGGTTATTTATTTGTATAAATATGCGCATCATTATGAAGTCGTTGCTTGTTAAATTCACCTTGTTTCGTAATGTTGTCTTATTGAGAAAAGAACCGTTTCATGGAAGTATACGTGTCAAATGTAAATATTTCATTGGAACCAGTCGCACATAATTATATCCGTACAGGTTTTGCTGTATTGCTGTTTTAGCTGAGGTACCTTCTTTCTGTAATGTCTGTTGCTTTTGGATTCCTGGTCGAATTATTTTTGTATTTATTTATTACATTAATGTATCTTTAAGTTATTTAATAATTGAATTGCAATATGTGTTTCATTAAAGAACAAATTTTAACATTTTATTGGACGTTTTGAATGAGTGTATTTGTGTAGGCCCAATTCTTGGAAAGAGCGAAAATACTTGCATACTGCATCTGCATATTGCAATGCATGGTCAATCTAATTGAAAGACTAAATTGAATTGAGAAATATATTCCTTCAAGCATCAATGCAATGATCATCCTTAGAGGTAGGCCTATATCATTAAAGGATTTATGTTGCAGCTAAAGCTGTCTTTTATGCTGAAAGGTGCAAAGATAGACAGACCATCAAGCATCAATAGATTCTATTTTTACATATCCAATTTCTCTACAAATTCCAGAAAAATCCCATTACTGTTCCACCATGCACTGTAAAAAAGACACGTGCTTTTTTTTACTGACTGGCTGCCAGCTTGCTCTTGCAGCTCGCGGTAGCCTACCTGAGAACAAATGCTAATATTCTATTAGAGTCTAATCATGGAGTCTATAGAGAACTGGATAGGTCCCTCGAGCGCAGCCCTGCCAGATGTCAGCCCGCCAGAAAAACAGCCTCGCCTGCCAATGTGCCCGTCTCTATTTAAATACACAGTCAAAAACTGCTCCCGCGCGAGGCATGATATGGCTTTGAAGCAGGTTAGGCTACACCTTGGTTTGCGCGCGGGGTTCAGGCTAGATAAAAAATCAACATTTTGAATAGAGTGTCATTTCTAAAGCGCCGTTCATGTCAGGCCGATGGGGGCTTGGCTACATGGCTGGTTTTGACTAGATAGAGTGCTTATGTCAAAATTGACTTTTCGTATAGCAGGTTAGGAGAACTTACGCAGCAGGTTATAGGAGAATTAACAAAGCAGGTTAGGAGAATTAGGTTAAGGTTAGGAAAAGGATGAGGGTAGGATTAGCCTAAAATGCAACAAACAAACAAAACTTTTGACGTCAATTTGACATAAGCTTTATCCAATATAGACATGACCTGCATGGCTGGCTGACTGGCTGCTTGGAACGTTAGAACGTTCTATGGGGTTTTCAGCTCAGCTGCTTTCAGCACCATGGATAGCTCCCATGCTACCTGAGGAGGAGAGGAGAGGGGAGCCAGCCGCCTCCGAATTTGCACTTCTGAAATCTGTCCTCCACATTTTAAAGAGAGTATTTATAGCAGCAGAATGTATTTGCATGTGATTATTTTTGATAAATCTAATTTGATTATAAATTGTAATTGAAACAGTGAGGGGGAATGCAGTGTAGGCTAGGCTATAATAATACATATTATAATACAAATAATGCTGCAAATAAAACATTTCTTATTAGTGCATTCCATCAATTAATTAGGAAAGAGATTCAGTAGCCTATTGATATGCAAAGTTCCACCTTTTGCTTGCTGTGCAACCGGAAGTGCATTATCCGGCAACAACATTTGGCTACACACCAAAATCAGCAGAGTTGGTGTATAGGCTAGTTTGGGAAAATATGATTGGTACACCTCCTTATTAGGCTACTTTGTGTCTATAACTTTGGCATCTCAACATTTCTAAAACCAATTTAACCCCTTGGCTTGCCAGCCTACCTCCCTGAAATTACCACATGATGACGTCAGAGTTATAACTAGGCCTATGGCTGTGTTTCGGTCATCTTTGGAATGGCCCGCATGGCCATGGCAGAATATATTTATTTATTTATAAAAAGAGATTTACAAGAACACTCGCTTTATTTCTACCAAATAAAAGAACCTTGACCGGCTATATCAATTAGTGACACAATTCTGTACTACCAGCTATGACAATAAATAAACAATTATTTTATTGTATTCCATAATAGAACCATTTGCTCCAAGATAAACATACAATTTTTTCACTTGTCTCTTAAATGTATAAAAGGCTTAAACACAAAATCAAAGCGGCGTAAAACACCACGATTTCAGCATTTGATAAATAATATCAAAACAAGCCGTTATTAACGAGACAGTCTTGATGTTTCATCAATTAAAAGATGCTCCTGGTGAGCGGTTCTAATTTTCCCTAAATGAGCCATTCACTTAATACGCTAATAAGAGCGAATTATTAAATTACACATCGAATTATGAAAAGCAGATAATTATGAGGCGCGAGCGAGAAGTATAGGCCTAAGTAGTCATTAGCTATCGCTGTTAATTACTCAGCGTTGGTCAGGGAGGGCTGCCGAGAGAGAGTCTCATCGGGAATTGAAATTAACTGAATGCAGTGAGTCTCGCTGCTTGACACCAGCCCAGCGTGTGTTCAGTGCACTGACTGGAAATATGGCAGCTCCCTCCACAGCTAGACAGACTATTCCCCTATTTAACTTTCCGATATATAGGTGCGAAAAAATCGATTGGGATTCTTTGCAAGCGAATCAATCCAGGCTGCACTATCCGCGCTGACATCACAAACAGAGAAAATAAACGCGCGCGCGCACACACACACACACACACACACACACACACACACACACTCGAATAGTTTCCCTTAAAATATCTTAACCAAGCCAAGCAGTTTACATAGAAGCAACACAGCCTCTCACATAGGCCTGCCTGTAGCCTATGTAGCTTATCTTCCATGCATTGAGACATGGCACCAGTACACTGTGGTCGCTACATTCAAAAATAAAATGGCAGCAGTGTTTCTCTTTGTTATAATTAGGCCTTCTGTTTCTCCTTTCCCATGAACATTTCCCCCCTTTCACAGGGATGCTGATGAAATTTTAATGAAGCCGGGGACTGTCTGAGCTCCGCCTGGGGAGCTGCGAATAGAATATTTTAACTGTACATTTACACGAAGTGTCTGCCTTCAAAGATACGACTGAGATCTGGAATTAGAGGAAACACAAGGGCAGAAATCGAATGCGAGACACTGTAACCCTTTATTTAGCATTGGTGGCGCTCAACTTGACTGCATTTCGCCAACAAATCGCACATTGTCCCTGTATTGTCATCGCGCCATGGCTCTTTGAATAACACGCGCATTTAATATAGTCCCCAATCTTCGTGTGATTCTGGATTTGTCGTGTGATTCTGGATTTGTAGTTGTTGATGCAATATTAACTAATTCTCACTGGTGATTAGTTTGTGAAGTGTTTTACAGAGACTAATCAATGGAGTTTCATTAAGAGGGAGAAAATACATGGGTGGCCATTTTTCCTTTCACACGTGTAAACGGGTGAGTATAGACTATACTGTCAGCTGACAGGATGCGTGTGTTGTTTTGAAAGTGCAGGGCAAGTTATTTGGTGCGATTGAAAAATAAACGTGCACTTACATATGCCTGACCCCCCCTCCCTCTCTCTCTCTCTCTCTCTCTCTCTCTCTCTCTCTCTCACACACACACACACACACACACACACACACACATATACACACACACACACACACCTTGATCTCCCAGGCACCTCTCTCACTCCTCGCCACACTGTCAGGAAAAATAAAGCATGCATGCACTACTATCT